TCCCTACCCTATTTTCAGCCCAAGATCAGAAGACTAAAGAAAGGAGAAAACCTGTACTTCAATAAGAATTTAATCCTAAAAGGGCAAAAGTCAGAAGTTGACTCCACTACTATTAATTCTACTTAGAAAGCACTGAGATATTACAGTTATAGGAAACAATTTAGAAATCACTAAGATAAACAGAAAGTGATGGGTAATAAAATTAAACTGCAGAAAGATTTTTAGGCAGTTAAAATAGCCTTGGAATCCAGTTTCCATTCCGCTTCTTTAAATGATTTCATGCATGTTCAGATTAAAATAGAACTGTAAAAATGTGACTGCAATGAACTCCATGCCTTAAAGAATCAGATACCCAATACCTGACTTACAAGCTAACAAGACCACCTACTAATTCACCCAAACTACGTAAACAGAATTTTTGTCCACATTAGAGAGAATATTGAGCTCTCTCATATGCCTAGTTTTTATAATTTCACTAGCCTAAATAGCTTCATTCACACTGGCTCATAGACATGGAATCAGTCAAAAGAAAAGAAACTTTGTTACTGATCAGCAGGGTTTTGTATTTAGAAATTAATAAAAGTAAATGTTTTCCAGATGCTTATTTCAGTTCCAGCTGCTCCACCTGCCCAAGGTATTTTAAGGAAGCAAACTGCATCATAACTGGCCTATTAAATGAAAAAACAACCACCAAACCCAAAGAAACCCAAACAAAAAAACCTTCGTCTCAAAATATCTTTTATTCCTATGAAAATAAGGCTTTGAATACTTCCTCTGGAAATCACTTCTAGTGTTCAAGTCAAGAAGTAGTCCCTTTCACCAGAAACATACACCTTACCTTTCAAGGCTGCTTGTTCAGCTTGTGTATACATCCCCAGAAAAAAGTATGTACAGGCAAGGTTCACCCAAACATCTGGATTGCAAGCTGGTTGTTGGGTTAGGGCCTCGTATTCCTGTAGCAGAAGAAAAACTTGATTTTTAAAAAATGCATAATAGCACAGACTTGTATTAAATGTCACTCTTCTGTCCACCATTTCGTAATGCATCACTAAGTTACTGAGATCAAATGACTTACTCTCAAGTTCATTGCAGCTCTTACAATGCAACTGTAACCTAAATAGTTCCTAAGTCTTTTCTGTTTACAGTAATAGAACAGACAACAGGGACAAGCAGTGCTATAAATATTCACTGTAGGAGAATGAATTATGTCAATACTGAAGTTATAAATATATATTTATTTACAACATATTTGTATATTATTAAAAAGACATTATTTATAAAAAATACACTAAAGTTATAAAGACATCAACATAACCAACTTCTCCTCAGTCTTTTCTGATACTTTCCTAACTTCTTTTCCAGTCAAAGCCTGGGAGCCATAAACACCAAGGAAATTTCTTTGTGAACACTTACTGGAGTAAGTGTTAAACATATTTTTATAAACTTGTAGGTAGTGTCTTCAATAGATTAAAACAGCAGTCTACAAAGTGGAGTATGTACACCCTTGCAACTCTGCAAGACAGTACCATTTGGTGCAAGAAGAACATTTTCTCTATCAATAATAACTAAAATAAAGATTTTTAAAATTATGTTTATTTCAACTTTATCTCATACTAGTAAAATGTATATTCTTGTGTATGTTTTACAATTACATAATAGTACAGTAGTACATGTATAATTTATAAATACATACATATATATATATATATGTATACTGGGGGACCATGTGCAAAAAATTTTTACATAAGAGGCGCACGATCAAAATTGCTTGGAGATCACTGAATTAAAATCTAAGCCCAGAAATTGGCCCTAGGCAAGTTCAAGATTTCCTAATAGATAAAGATATAATAATAATTAATGTCACTAAACTGTGCCTAACTTCACCATTTCCTATTTTAAGACTTGCAGCCAACAGATACAGAAAACTAGTAGATACCATATTCTGGTATTTCTTACACATTCACATTAATTACATATCCCTGAATACTGTCACATAAACTGCTTCCTTTCTTGTTATTTGTGAAACAGTAAAAACTTAACAGATCACAAAATTTTTACATAAGAGGCGCACGATCAAAATTGCTTGGAGATCACTGAATTAAAATCTAAGCCCAGAAATTGGCCCTAGGCAAGTTCAAGATTTCCTAATAGATAAAGATATAATAATAATTAATGTCACTAAACTGTGCCTAACTTCACCATTTCCTATTTTAAGACTTGCAGCCAACAGATACAGAAAACTAGTAGATACCATATTCTGGTATTTCTTACACATTCACATTAATTACATATCCCTGAATACTGTCACATAAACTGCTTCCTTTCTTGTTATTTGTGAAACAGTAAAAACTTAACAGATCACGCTTTCAATCTGCTTCTTTCATGAAGAAAAACTTTGCTGCCACCAAACAGTGATATTTCTGAAGACAAGTATTTTGCTCTGCATAACAACAGGTACTAAAAATAGAGGCAGGGAAACCTCTTGATTCATTTCTTTTTTCCCTCTGTCAGGAAGGGACAGTAATTTCTGTGAAATTACTAGGCATGACCATTCCAGCAAAAGGGCCTCCTGCTGGTGCTCCTGCTCCCCATCCAACCATGTCCAACAGGCAGGTCATACAAAGTCCTCACAAGACCTGCTGAAAGAAGGTCATCCACATACTCCCAATCAAAATAAGCCTCTCATCCCTCCCAGCAACACAACCCCTTGACAACTCTGTACTCTTCCTCTGAACACAAGAACTAGAATTTCCCTCTTCCTAGGGAGCATTTACCAGATTGTGCCACTACAGGTGGGAGAGTTCTTACCTCCAGGAAAAAGGCACAGATGTATATATAATACTAGATAAAATAAGTCTTGTCCAAAAGACAGTGAATCCTAAGAACAAAAACCTGCTCACAACAATAAAGTTTGTAGTTTGCAAGCACAAAGAATTTTTTTTCTGTTGCGATGTGAAAGCAAACTGCACACCCAACAGAGAAGATACTAGTAAGGTATGCCCTAACAGCCAGCTCAGTCTTGCCAGTACTTCAGGGACTAGCTATCCTTCAAGAGGATTTGCAACAAATTTAAAAAAAAACAAAAAAAACCAAAAAAAACACATTTACATAGAGGCCAACCTTTCCTACTGAGACCAGTTCAATTATGATGTAGGCCTGCCATGGAGCACTGAGAGACAGGCCACTGCTGTTTATTGGGACCATCTGGAATCTTTCAAAATCCATTGAGATTAAATGCACCCAACGGCCTCTTTCGGCTATGGCTTCAGGCAGACTTATTAGAAAATACAAAGTGAATAAACATAAGACATGCTCTGGCTCAGCCATCCAAAGCAAGCAATAAATAAGGAATGCTCTAGCAGTACCAATGTGAATCTATGGAAACACAGTAAATAAAAATGAGGACTATTAGTGCTCCTTACCCTGTAGTTTTGGGCCATGAGCCCAGACTATGTGGTGTTGCCCCTTTCCTCACTAAAAGCCATTCAATATCAGTCTCTCAAAGACTATTTCACAGGAGCTTTCCACCTTCTCTCCAAAAAAACAACAAAGCCAAACAAACTAAATACTCCTGAAGTTTTGCCAAGAGTCAACCTGTGGCATATTTTTGACAACCAGGAGCATAACAGCTTCTTGCTATTTCACCCTCCTCCACCTTTTGCCCCTGTGATGAGATACATGCACTCTTCCTCAAAAGCAGGCTGCCACGTTGATTGCTTACAACTACAGATACCTACTGACACTGTCAACACCAGCAGGATTCTGCCCAGTACCCTTATTACTTGTCTGGATTCTCCAAGCCCATAAACACAGATCCTGAAGAGCCAATAAACAGGCCAACCTATGGGGCTGCTCCACAAGTGCTCAAAGGATGTATGGAGATACTCATTGCAACCTGGCTACAGTCATGACAGAGAAGTCTAGGGAACTTTCCTGGGCCAAAAGTCCATCTTTTACTTTCTCGCTTCAGCTGTCAGGAACTTGATCATACCTGTATTCTCACATTTCTAGCAGAAGTACTCAAGCAAGATCAGATATTGTTCATGGATGAACTGTTATAACCCTGTTACAGAAATCATTATAACCTCGTATAGCCAGGTTCCTCTCATGGTTTACTATTTGACTGAAATTATCCTGAACAAAGTCAGGGTAGACAGGAGCTAGGCAGGAATGGCTCCTGATTCTCTTCTAGGAGGGAGGCAGCAGATGGGAGAGACTGTTGGAGTTACTGGCGGAAGTTTGTGATATTTTTACAAAAATAATGCATGAAGAATAAAAGAATTATTGAGCAGCATAACTTCAGAAGATTTAATCAAGTATATGGAATACAAACCACGAACTGGAAATATAGTGGCAGACCATGTGTTGCCACTTGCAGGCACTCGGGAGCGTGAACGATTTAGATTGTGTGTAATGTCACTCTGGATAATTCTGCAAAATCTTCTACCCACAGTATTTTATTTACAGTGCTCCTGACACTCTGCAAAGAGTGCCCCAAGGGCTAGACAGTATAGATAATCAAGGAATTTGTCCTTGAGAACACAGCAGCCATGCCTCTGTAACACAGCAGAGAAGATACAGAACTACACTTCAATCTTGAGGCCGAAAACTGAAAGGCAATGCAGCCTCCACAGTCAACACTCTTTATTACCATAGGCTTGGGAATTACAACAGTTCGGTCCCAAAAGGAACTAGGTAGAGATGCACAGGGTCAGTTCCTGCATGCCACCACAAAATGACTATTATCACGACTCATCACTGTACCAAAAACCAGTCTTAAATCTGAAAAGATAGGCCCAGTGATCTCTCATTTAAAACACGCACAAACCAACCACAAACCATGCATACAAACCTTTTATTGTCCCTACTTCGGCAGAAAAACAGGGAAAAAAACCACTTATGTTGCAGTTTTTAAAAGTCTGAATCAAAAGCATCACCTAGTGGTGAATCAGACACCATACACAAAACCTAATGCTTCAAAGAAAAAAAGCGCTGTTACTCTATCGTTGGAGGAAAGACTTAAAATCCACTCTGGCTACAAAAGCACCTACCGGGTGTTCCAAGTAGCACAACTTTCAAATAAATTGTAAGCTATTTTTAATTCGTATACACATAGTTTTCCTTTCTAAAAAACTTTCATGCCCTATTAACACCTAACATGTAGATATAAATAAATAACAGGAACTAATAGTTACATTCATACCTCTTAAAATTCCACAGCTCTAAACATCAATATTAAGTTACCACTATTTCCTTTACTACTATTCTACATTCTATACTGTGTATACCGTGAATATGATTCATGGAACATTTCTAACATCTCCAATGGATGTTTCCTCTTCAAGTTTGTGAGGAGGAAAGTGCCTTGTGAACTTAGTAGGTAGCTTTAGAAATTCTATTTCCACCTCACACATGAATCTTGAGTGTGTGACCATGTAGTACTATAGTTAAACACGTCATTTTATCTACAAGAGAAAATATAATAATTGTTCTATAATCTATTTCTCTATGATTATTTTCTTTTGTTAATACTTTATAACCTGTTTTTAATATTTCTTCCAAGGAAAGCAAATTAAAAGACTGCAGATCCAACTACACTTCACAACTTTGCTTCACAGGGAACCATGATGGAGATCTCCCCCAGCTGCAACCAAATAGACCAAAACAAATAAGCTTTAGAAGGTGCAATACAGCATTCTATAGAGCCAGCAATTCCCATATGCAGGAATATAGCAATGAGACACACAATACTTGGGCATCTGGAGCTCTTTTCAAATCTTCCTAGGACTTCTACAGAGAAATAAGCTAGCTGAACTAAGAAGAAAAAGGGATCCCAGGGATGCTGGCAACAAACTGATTAGCAAAAAATTGAATTTCACTGGAGACATAAATGGACACAAGAGGAAAAACTGCATATGGACTCGTGGACTAAAGAAGACACAACAGCACTGTATGGTGCAAATATTAAAAAATGTATGTGTATTTGAACCATCAACATGTCTTTTAGTGACTTAAAGCTTTTGGAGAATGAGAATGTCTCATTTCATTGAACTACCCAATACAAGAAAACACAAAGAACAATAAAGTACATTAAATGGCATGAGGCATCAACCTCTAAATAAAGAATTAAAAAAGCATGCATATTAGAGATAAGCTACACAATGAAAACATAGACATAATTAAACCTCAAAAACAAAACTGTGGAAAGCTAGCTGCAAAAAGGGAATTAAAACTTTGGGACATGAACTATGACATTTAAAGGGGCAAACCAGGCTAATGAACCTAGTATTGAATCAGAGTAGATAACATTAAAAAGGTCTATTTTCATAGGTAAATGCCATTTTAAAAAAAAAAGAACTGCTTTCTGGCATCTTATTACTGTACATTTGTACCTTCACTGACTGGCAGAACTGTTGCCTGTTACAGAACATCTTCCTCTGTTGTCATCACTTTACCATAACATCCCAACTACCATCCTGTGGGAGCAGGATTTCCCCACCTTACCTCTAGAGCTCTCTTGTAGTCACCCAAATGAAAGGCAGAGTATCCGATCCAAAGGTCTGTATCCTCCTCCTGCTCACCCACCTGCCGCTTAAACTTTGTAAAGGAAGAATGGAAGAATTTTGTCAGCTGCCACACAGTTTATAAAGCCCCACAGCTAATCAAAGTAATACTAGGTGATCTTGTATCACGGGTGGTTTGACAGTCATGGGTGCTACCGGGCTGAGCTGCTCTCACATTCCTAAGGGAAGCAGCGGGCAAACCTCACAGGCCAAACCGAGTTCCAAGCAGTGAGGGGAAAGGCTTCCGCAACAGGACCTAACGGGTGCGGGAAGGGGCGCGAAGGACACAAGGCAGGGACTGGTTCCCCCTGCCCTGCAGCCCCGCGGGGCACCAACCTGGCCACGACGGCCCGGTTCTCCCGAGGGGAGCGGGAGAGCCCGGGTGCCGGCCGCGCCCTC